GACTGAGGGTAGAGTGTGCTTACAGGAATACTAGGGCCAGGGCATGAAAGAACTCCAGTGCCAGGACAGGTTTCTAGACAGTTCTGTACATCACTGCTTGTGGCAGGGAAGCCTGAGAATACTCCTCGCTCCTTTGGTGGGTTCTCACCAGGGCTTCAAACTGGTTCATTCTGGTTCGACCCCCCCTGCTGACAGTTTGCATTGCCACTCCAGATATACTGAATCAGAGTCTCCATTTTAGCAAGCTCCTTGCGTGATTCTTAAGAGTCATCTAGGGGTCTTGTTAAAATGTAGATTCTGATTCAGGATATCTGGGGATGGAAAAGCAAATTCTCAGCAGGGGGTCGAACCAGAACCAGTTTGAAGCCCTAGTTCTCCTGCTCTCTTTTCAAAAATGTGTGTGTGTTTAAAATATAAATACACATAAGATAATCACATGGAAAATTTGGAAAACAGAAGATAAGTCGTGTATATTTCTACTAGTCTTTTGTAACCATTGTTATTTTGATGTGTTTTCCTGCTAGTCTTTTTTATACATGTGCTTTTTACATAATCATCGTTTGGCGTTCCTGTAGCAGAGCCGTTTGAGTATTGCTGGACTGTCTTCCAGAGGTGTGATTTTTTTAATGGCCATTTAAGCCATCGAGAGGATGTGCACCAAAACATACTTGTGCTCTCTGTTGCTGGATATTTAAGTTGTCTCTTGCTTCCCCCCATTATAAGCACTGGTGCAGTGAATACCTTTGCAGATGCCAGTTTTTACGTGTTTTTGTCATAATTTCCTTGGGATGTACTCTCAGGTTCTGGGAGTACCAAGGTTAATTGTGGTTGTTTGTGTGCTCGGGACCCAGCCAGCCACACTGGGAATGATTACCCTTTCTTGTTCTATGATACACAGCCTCATCTCCAAAGATTCCAAAATATGGCTGGCTCTCTGCCTCCCAGAGAGAATGACCTTGAGTTTTCTTAGTCCATGAGGTATTAAGTGTTTGGGGCCTGAAGTAAACCCCACACTACCAGTTTGGGTCGAGTGCAAGATTGGGAAAGTCACAGAGAGCTCAAGCACAGCCAAGGCCTGTGAAACACATGGGAAGAGAATGTTAAACCACTTAAAAACAAGGCCCTTCAGGGCAGAGCTTCAGCCTAACTCTGCCGGCCTCTTCTGTTACCTCAGAGTCAGCTAGATGGGAAATGTGCCCCCGCCCGGAGCTGTGGTGGGCCTTACTGACCGGGGCCTTTCTTACCTTTCCCTGCCTTCCTCCTGACCCTCCTCAGTGTCTTCCCTCTCCCTCCTACTCTCACCCGACTCTGGGCTCTGTGGCAGTGCACACCTCACCTGTGGTCCCTGGCACAACACTTATCTCGCCTACCATGCTGTGACTCCAGAGGGCAAGAGCCGTGCCCTGTTTATTTTGGTGCATCCCTTGCAACTGCTTGTAACTGTTGCTGAGTGAAAAGAACTGAGTTTAGGAGCTTTTTATTTGTTATAAATCCAGTAAAGGGCATTAGCGTATCTGAGTCCTTTGTGCACTGAGTGTGTTTTAAGTTACTTCTTCATAGGTGAAACTTAGCCCTCACCTTCCTTTTAAACAACTACTTGGCCCACTGAAGAGCCAGTTGGTGCTCGGTGAGTGAGAAGAAAGGTTGATGCTGTTGATTTCCTATTTGTGACTTGGAGTAAGAACTGATGGTCCTTATTTGCAAGGCTCTCTTTGCATGTGTCTTACCAAGGATGTTCTCAAGAACTAACTCTTTGAAGGCCAGGCATCCAGAACTGAGCAGCAGCCATCGTCTTGGTTGCTCTCAGTGCCCTGGTCAGTGTCCCTCTGGAGCAGGTTCATTCATTCAGCCACATATTTGGTCAGGCGCTGTCCTAGGCTTTAAGGATATTCTGGCAACCAAGGGAGACCTGGGCCTTACCCTGTCAGATTTACAATTGCATGTCTTTGGGGACAGATAAACCTGGATTCAGAATCTGGCTCAACCACTACCCCTGAGATCTTGGGCAAACTAACTCCCTTCTCTGAGCTTGACTTTTTCCAGCCACAAAATATAAATACTCCTCCCTCACAGAGCAGTTGTGAGGGTTGAAGAAGGAGACTGCCATCCTCAGCCAGATTCCTTATCTGAGCCACAGAACACAGAAACTGGAGTGATGGCTTTCTCAGCTCTCTCAAGGATGGAAGGTAACTAGCACCGTTTTTGGTGCACAGCGGAGACGTTAATTCATTACAGAGAATGAATGCTTTAGGGCAGCTAGGATCAATTCTCTTGAGGAACCAGGTTGACAGTGGCTGGGAGAACTTTCTTTCCTGGCAGCTTGACATATCGGCCACTTCTGGGGTGGCTAGATTTTTACTATATGTCAGTGTGTGGTGTGCCTGGCACATAGTAGACGCTTAGTAGTCGTCAGCTCTCTTGTTCATCCTCTTTTTCTCCCTCACTCTCTCACCAGGACTCAGCTTCTCTTGAAGCCACCCACATCTTATAGAAAGAGTCCACATTGCCTCAGATGGGGAGTACTCAGGCCCCATGGAGTGTTCTAGGCTCCTCTTCCCAAGCAAGGTGCTTCTGGGCCTTAGGGTTGCTGCTGCAGTTTCTCTGTGCCCTGGCATTTGGGCGGTGCTGCCTAGAGAAAGCAGAGGAGGGGCTGCAGCAGGCAGGCGTTTATTCTCAAGCATTTACTGAGCTGTGCTCTACATCAGGGCCTTGATAAGCACCAGGGAGCTACAAATATGAATGAGGCACCGATGTGTCTGGCTGCAAACTGTTTACGGCTTTCTAGTGGAGATAGCCCAGTGAGGGGTCCAGGGGCCAAGTCTTCAAGATTTTAGAAAAAGGAGGAAGGATCAGTGTGGACAGGGTAGTCAGCCCTCCATCCCCCAACCCCATCCCTAGAATCTCCTTCTGCCTGACATTGGTAAAAGGGAATGATACCTCTTTATGGGCCTGGGGGATGCTTAGTAACCGTGTGTGCCTTGGCCAGGTGTGTGTATGCCAGCACTTGAAACTGCTCCCGGAGCTGCCTCTCTGCTTCCCCTCTTGTAGTGACTCATGTTGGATCTAATTTCAGTGACTTCAGCTCACTCACTCACCTGGGGCTTGGTGTCTGTGGAGTCTGTAGGGGAACAGATACTGGGCCCCAAATCCTCCTTGCAGGAGGCCAGCCGCGTAATTCTGGGAGAAAACTGTCAGTTGTTCAGCCAGCATATAACCTCAGGGCCAGTCCCTCCAGCTCCAGGTGGCCTCCCCAACCTCACCTTGTCACCCTGTCCAAGTTGCAGGAGCCACCAGAGCAGGGAGTGTTGTCCAACAGAAAGGACATGACTGCGGTGTCTTGCAGAGGAGGTTGGCGGGGAGTAGGGTGCAGAGGATAAGACCCTGCTCCCGTCCAGAAGCAGGTAGTGATGTCCGGCTGTGTCCCCAGCTCTGGGGTAGGCTCTGGGGAGAACTGGTGGCCCAGGTGGGAAGATAGTGTGTGTGAAGACGTCAGAGAACACATTCAGTGCCTACCCTCAGCTCTCTGGATGTTCAGAATAGGGAGGGAGCTCCCATTTTGAGACCTAGGACAAGTTGCTTCCTCCACCATGGCAAGTGCTGTTTTCCCCATCTGTAAACTGAAGGGGCTGATCTCTGAGGGTCTATCTGATTTTAACAGCGTCTAAGGGTTCAATCTGGGGAGGCTTCCTGGTGGAGGCAAGGCTGCCCCTGAGCAGCTGAATGAGTGCTGAAGGGGGCAAGGTGTTGAGAACAGGGGAGCATACTCTTCCCTGGGGCTAGTTCCCTGAGGCCTTGTAATAAGGGTTGGCAGAGTCCGGTGGCAGTCTGCCTGCCCTTCATGGCTGTTCCTCCCAAGCCAGGCATGCCTATTGAGCTGGACCTGAGCTCCATGCCTGTTACAGGAAAGGGTAAAGACAAGCCAGCCCCAGGCCAGCAGGAAGGCTGCTTGGGTGAAGAGGGAGGCTTGGGTGAAGAGGCCCTGGGCTGGAAGGCCTGGCCTCAGGTGGAGATCAGAGGGGAATGGAGGATTGAAAACTAAGGAAAAGACTGTTCTGAGAACAGTTTTGCTTTTTTTTTTTCTTTTAAAAAAAAAGAATCCATGGGGGAAAAAAAAGCCATAAACGTTTTCCTGGATTTCCATTTGAGCCCTTCACATTTCTACTCGTGGCAAGTACTGCCTGCTTTTAGGAGGAAAGCGTGGACAGCCAGCAGCAGGCCTGTGTGCCAGAGCCCTGAGCCGACCTTTAAAAAATAAGAGGAATAAATGCTTTTTGTTAGCTAAGAAATAAAACCATACAGAAAGGTTATAAAGTGAAAAGTCTCCACCCTCACCACCCCATTCACCCCTAAAAGAAAACACTCCCTGGAGGCAAATACTATGTTTGAACTCTGTAAAGGGCACGAACAAGAACTTGTTAGTGTCTGCTCCCAGGCCTCCCTCCAAGTGCAAAGCTGGCTGTGTCGCTCCTGAGAAGTCACCTGGGCTGAACCCTCTCATGTTCCAGAAAGGGAGAGAGACTGCAGCTGTGGTGTGGCTAGGGCCAGGCAGAGGTGCCTTCAGGAGAGGCTTGTCAGGGCACTGGAAAGGACAGTCAGCAGCCTCACTTCAGCCAGGTGTCATCAGAACTGCATGCTGGCCCCAGCAGGGCTCGGAACCTTGGAACCTGTCTGGTCCGGTTCAAATCTCTGCTGCTTTTCTAACGAGTTCCCTGCTGAGAGTTTGCATTTCTGATAACTTCCCAGGCGGTTATACATAAGAATCACCTGGGGACCTTGTTAAAATGTAGATTCTGATTCAGTATATATGGGGTGGAAATGCAAGTTCTCAGCAGGAAACTCGTTAGAAATGCAAATACTCAGTAGGGTCTAGAGTCAGAACCCAGGTCCCAGGAGGGGCCAAGAGATGGTGATCCTACCCACCCCCACCCCCCACCCCCCAGGGTTCATTTGTCCTCAGTGTCTAAATGGCTCTTTTTTTTCTGTTTTCTTTGGCTTCTCAGGATCCCTCTGTGACCCAGCTGACCAGTGCCCCGCAGGGTGGCCTGGCTGAATTCAACCCCTTCTCAGAGGTTGGTGAGCATGCTCTCTTGCTGAGTCCCCTGGTCCTCTGGGTGGTGCTGGGTCTTTGGGGCAAGGAATCTTGGCAGAGAAGGAGACAGCTCTGAGGAGCTGCAGCCCTCAAAGTCCTAAAGTGAACTCAGGTGGGGGTGAGGAGGAGGAAGTCACTAAGGGCTCTCTGAAACTCTCCCCCTGGGATCCATGATCTGGGCCGCTCCCTGAGGAGAGCAGCCTATCCTGAGGAAGGGAGAGGAGAGCGCTCTGGATTCGGTGAGGCCCAGGGATGCTGGGTTAGGCATCAGATTGGGCGAGAAGTGGCAGGGGCCAAGGCCCGGCAACCTGTGTGCTCCTGGGCATCAGACCTGGAACTTTGCTCACCCTGCTACGTGTTTGCCCCACTCATCCCTCCTCTGTCTGTCCCTCTCAGACAAATGCAGCAACAACTGTTCCAGTCACACAGCACCCTGGGTCCTCACAGCCAGCAGTTCTCCAGCCTTCGGTGGAACCAGCCCAGCCAACCCCCCAGGTACTGTGGACAGAGAGCCCTTTGGCCCCTCCTCTCCTGTGAGGGAAGCACCAGACCAGCAGCTGAGCCCTGAGGTTGGGGGCAGGCAGTGGACCTTAATCTCTGGCTCCCCTTCAAGGGTCCTCTTGCTAGTTTCTTTGGACCTGGTCACTTTAATCTTTAAAGTGGAGGAACTGCCCAGCCAACTGATACCTCCCCCTGACCCCCAAATCATGCACCACCACCATAAAAAAAAAAAAGCCCCACACCAGGCTGCGGTCCTTGGTATCTTCAGAAAGAGCGTTTGCCTCTGCTGTGCCGCTCTGGAACCTGCTTGAGCCTTTGGCTTGTTCTCTCTCACTCAGGGCCCAGAATCCCTTCCTTCCTTACCTCATGTATACCTGCCTGCCTTCCTCTTTTCCTTGTCCTTTCACTGTGGATCTTGTCTGCTGTATGCCCGCCCTCCATCCACCGCCTTGCTGCCCACCCCCACATTCCTCACTGTCTTGGTGAGCGAGACCCACAGTGGAGATGTGTGTTGCAGCTCCTGCTTAGACAGGCCAGCAAGTTCCTGCCTACCAGGTTCCTGGCAGTGAGCGAGCGCTCAGAGAGGCAGATGCTGCTAGGAGGAGATAGTATTCTCAGAGACAGCTACATGCGAAAGCTTTCGAAGGTAGGCAAAGTGTAGATGAGCACAAGGGAGGGCAAGGCACCTGGAGCCTTCCAGGCAGGGCTGGGACCCTAGCAGGCTCCAGGCTGCTCCCAGGGTCTGGCTGGGCTTGCGGTGAAAGTGCTGCCCCTCCGATGACTCTAGAACCTGTGGAGGTGAGGTGAGCCTTTCTTGTTCTGCTGGGTGGTTGGCTGCAGGGACCTGGGTCCCACTAAACTGAAGTCACAGAGCTGGGGAGAGGGGGCTAAGATGCTCAGCGTAGTTCAGTGCAGTCAATTCTGGCCCTGCTGCTGCCCCTAATGCCTGAAACGTACATCCCAAAGGCATGCTTAGCTCTTTGGAGAAGTGCTTGTGGAGAGGCTGTGTGTGTTTGTGTGTGTGTGTGTGTGTGTGTATACACGTGTACATACATATGCTTGGCCTGTCACCGTACAAGATGACCAGTTTGATATGAGTTCCCTAAAAATAACTAGATCCTTCTTCAGGAGGAACCCAGTCCAAACAGCTGCAGTACCCCATAGGAGCAGGGCCCTGGCTGGAATGTCCGGGCCCTGGGACCAATTCTGCTCAGCCTCACTTCCAGTCCCTTGGTCACCTCACCCAGAGGCCCTGCACAGCCTGGAGAGTGGATAAAGCTTGGAACTCTGCAAGTGATGAAAGCCAGGCAGAGCAGGGCCAAGCCTAAGAGGCTGTCCTGGGCAGCAGCCAGTCACGGCTCAGGTGAACCCCTCAGTTCAGGTAGCCCTCAGGAGGTGCTGCCGGGGGTATGGCAGGGGGTGCTTGAATACAAAATCCCCAAGGCTCAGGTACACATGTCCACCTTCAAGTGTCTTTCTTCCTTCCCCACTCACTATTAGCTGGTTTGCACTGCTCCCCCTCACACTCTTGCCCTCCAAGTTCTTCAAAGGAGGCTTGAGTCTTGGTTTCTGGCTATAGACTGACTCTTGGGAGGTCCCCTTCCATTTGCGTCACTGTAACTGGATGTTGCCTGGATTCCAGTGTAGGGGAGAAGAGGGAAAGTCACTAAGGATAGTTCTCCTTTCTCAAGCTCAGGGGTGAAGGGGAGAGGGGTGCTCTGGTGATTCTAAGGGGCTAGAGGTGGTGGGGGCAGTGGGAGACAGGTCACCCTGGCCTCCCTGCGGGGGACCTTGGTGCCCAAGACACTCTTGTGGGGCCTGGACTGCATCTGGGACTCCCAGCAGCTCTCCTGCATGGGGCAAAGCTCCTCTTCCTGCCCATGCTGACACTGTCCCTCTCTCTTGTGCCCGGCTGTGCCCTCTGCCCTCATTCCCTCCAGGCCATAGCCTCTGCAGCCCAGGCAGGCCTGCTTCGCCAGCAGGAAGAGCTGAACAGGAAAGCGGCTGAGCTGGAACGCAAGGAGCGGGAGCTGCAGAACACTGTGGCCAACTTAAGCGGTAAGGGAGGCTGCTGGGGTCCCTGGGGCCTGTGTCCTGGGGCAGGAGAGTTTCTTGAGCCCTGCAGGGAGGGCACTCCCAGCACTGACCCTGAACCTACTTGTTCCTGGGGCAGCCTCACAGGTTTGGCTGAGCTCTTGACCACCTTAGAACATGCTGGTCCTGGGGAAGAACAACCAGTTGGAAGTCAGAAGACCTGTAATGGAGTCCTGAAGGATGCAGATTATTTCTGAGCCCCTTCCCAGCTCTAAAATTCTTTGATTCTTTGATGGACTGACGGCACTGATGCCACAATTCCTTGCTCGTGATGATGATGCCTGTTATGTTTATGGGCTGGTTGTTAATAAAAATAACCCTGTATGCCGTTTTGCCCTTTGTATTTCACAGTGCATGTGGGTCCATTGTCTTGGAGTGAGCATCACTGTCTCCTTGTGTCCCATCGCCCTTTTCCTGTCCCACTCTATGCTCCGTGAAGACCCCTGAGTCCTGGTTACAGGAGCCCCTCTGTCATCCCTGGTTTGGCTCATAAACTGGGCCAGCATGTGCGCACCTCCATGCTCCTTCTGAGGTTGGGCCCTCACCTCGTCTCCACTCTCCTCTTTCCACACAGTGAGAGACAACAACTGGCCGCCACTACCTTTCTGGTGCCCTGTCAAGCCCTGCTTCTACCAGGATTTCTCCACAGAGATCCCTGCCGACTACCAGCGGATATGCAAGATGCTCTACTATCTCTGGATGTGTGAGTCCGGCTCCTGCCTCTCGGAGCCCAAGGGTGAAATGGGGTGGGACTTGAGAGCCCTCTGTCCTCTGCTTGCTCCTCCCTGGTGTGGGAAGCTTCCTCCTAGCTTTCTGCAGACTCCAGCCATCTGCAGAGTTGGCCTTCCCAGTCTGCTCCCTGTCCTGGGAACCTCCTTGCAAGGGGAGAGTCCACACCACAGATCAGGTAGGGTAGGATTAGCCAGATGAACTTCCTGGGGAGCTCATTGTACTAAAGTGCCTCCCTTAGGAGAAGGCCTTCTCTATAGGCCCCTAGGCTCCTCGGGGTGAGCAAAAAAGACTCTTCCTGTAGTTCTGTTGTGAGTCACTGGGGCCAAAGAAAAGAGTTGCTGAAAGATTTCATTCCCCAAGAATCAGACCTGGGTCTGCATCCCTCCCTCCCCACAAATACTTGAGCTCTCCCAGCCCTTCTTAGGAACTTTGTTTGGTCCTCAGTTTTGAGATCCCAGAAAGCTAGGATTTGGTAGGTGACCCTGCCTAGAGCCATCTACTATTTCTGCTGCTGCCCTCACAGCATGGACCCCATTTCCTCTCCCAGGGGGTGGTTTAACATGTTGGGAGCTAGCCACCCTGGTGCAAGCTCATTTCTCTCTCCCCTCCTCCCTCCGCAGTGCATTCAGTGACTCTGTTTCTGAACCTGCTTGCCTGCCTGGCCTGGTTCACAGTTGACACTTCCAAGGGAATGCAGTTTGGCCTCTCGATCTTGTGGTTTCTGATCTTCACCCCCTGTGCCTTCCTTTGTTGGTACCGACCCATCTATAAGGCCTTCAGGTGAGTGGGCTGGAGCAAGGGTAAGTGTATGGCTAGCATTGCAGGTAGCAAGCCTAGGGCCATAAGCCCTGGGACCCCATCCTAGTCTTGGCGCAGAACAGAATGGTGGGGAAATTCACTTTCCCATTCCCACCAATAGCCAGAGCAGACAGGGATCAGGATCCTGTCCTTGGACTAGGCACGGGAGACCCAGAGAGAGGGATCAGGAGCCTTACCTGCTCTTCTGCTGCTCCCAGTCTGTCTGATGGGTGAGATCCCAGTCACTGAGAGGGTGGGGGCCCTTCTGAGGACTGAGGCATGCCTCACTGATAAGAGCTGTATGGGTGCTCTCAGTGGCTTTATCTGTCCACTCTTATTATGCACCTCTTTCCCTCCCCTCCCCACCCTCCGCTTCCCCACATTAGTGAATCCTTACACATCCCTAGGGGTTCTGGAATTGTACGTAAGAGCTGATGCTTCCAGGGATGGGAGCCCAGTGGGCCACGGGAAGTGGGGGGGGGGGGGCGCAGCGGCTGACCAATCCCGTGTATTCAGAAGGGGACCTGCGCCCTCACTATGTTCTAGGCCTCAAGGACACACCGATGGAGGTGCCCAGCCCTTTAGGAATTCTATCTGGTGTTCCCTACTCCCCCAAATACCTTTGTCCTCTACCTAGGCCTGTAGTTTTATTGTTAGAGATTTATGCCTCTGGCTTAGAATTTTTTTTGCCTGTTACGAAATGCAAATAAATGCTCTGGGAGATGGAGGTTAAGCTCTTTATATTGTCTTCTGGGGGATGGACTTTTATCAGCTCTTTGATTGGAAGAGCTGTAAATCGGAAGGCAGTGAAGGGCAAGCCCTTCTTGACTCTGGTGGTGGGTGTCTGTGTGTGTATGTCCTCCTGGACAGTGTGGCTGGTCCCCTGAGCTCTGCCTACTCCCCCGTCCTGCCTTCTGACTCCTAGGTTCTGCAGCTCTCATATCCAGTGAGGAGTGCAGAGGTACGTGGCCCAGGCCCTCTGGTGACTTCTCATTTCCTGCTCTCTCCACAGGTCAGACAACTCTTTCAGCTTCTTCGTGTTCTTCTTTGTATTTTTTTGTCAAATAGGGGTCTACATCATCCAGGTGATCGGCTTCCCGAATCTGGGGAACAGGTGAGGCCTGGGGCAGCACAGAGGCAATTATGCTTTGGACATGGGGCTCAGCCTCTCTCACCTTGTTTCCCAGCTACCAGATGACCCTTCTTCCACCATGGCAGGGAGCAGGGTGGGTAGACCAGCTTGGTTGTGAGCCAAGCTATACACGGGGGTGCCCAGTTCCTCACCAGTAGCCACTCACTGTCTTGCCTTGCTCTCCACGTTTTCTGAAATGTCGTGGGTGAACATGGCCTAAGTCCTTAGGCTACCAATGCTGTGCCCTGCACTGGATTGCAACCCCCTCCTTTTCTCCTGCCACACCCACCTCGAGGCTGGTGCTACTTTCACAGGCCCCAGTGTGACTTTTTTCAGGGGTCCTGTAACTCAATAGATGGAGCCTGAGCCTTGCCCAAAGAGGCTGCTTCTTGCCACCCTCTTTGAGCATAAGGCTGGCTCGAGTTTCTCGGGCACTGCAGTTCTTAGCTCAAAATTAGTCTCAAAAAGAAGAGCTGACAGCTGATGTTTTCCTTTCTGCCCCAGTGCACACAGAGCATTGCAGAAGGGTCAGGTCGGCTCTTGGCTGAAAGCCTGAGCCTGGAAGGGCTGCGCTATTTTGGTTCCATTCCTCCACCAGAGCCGGCAAGTCCAGAGCGGTGGGGAGAGGACTGACTGACCTGCACTCCAAGCATGTGCATGCTGCCCTCCCACCAACCACTTCTTCCCTTGCTCTTTCTAGTTTGGCCCTTTCTCTTTGACCGCGACCTAATTTCATTACTTACAAGATCCTGGTAGACAGGCTATGATTAACAACTACTGATGTTTGCACCCTTGGCTGGGAATGGGAGACTTGGGTTCTGTTCTAGCGCTGCCCTTCACTGCTGGACTCTGCAGACTCGTCTCTTAATGCCTCTCTGGAGCCTTCTGTGATCATTTTCTCATCTTACCTCATAACGTTAGGAAATTGGATAGGTGATATTATTTCCACCTTTTTTGTTATTTTTTCTATTTTTTATTTATTTTATTGTGGTGAAATATATATAACAAAATTTACCATTTTCACCGTGTTGAAGTGTACAGTTTGGTGGCATTTCGTACCTTCACAGCGTTGTGCAACTACCACCTCTGTCCAGCTCCCAAAAGAAAACTCTCTACCAGTAAGCACTCATTTCCCATTCCCTCCTCCTCAGCCTGTGCTATTCTGCTTGTTTTCCTCTATGGATTTGCTTACACTGGATAATATATAGTCTTTTGTGTCTGAGTTTTTTCACTTAGCATAACATTTTCCGGGTTCATCCATGTTGTAGCACGTGTAAGTATTTCAATCCAATTTATGACCAAATAATGGTGTATTGTATGAATAGACAACATTGTTTTATCCATTCATCAGTTGATGGACATTTGGGTTGTTTCTACCTTTTGGCTATTGTGAATAGTGCTGATGTGAATTTTCATGTACAAGTTTTTGTTTGAATACCTATTTCAATTCTTGGGGTATATACCTAGGAATGGAATTGCTGGATCATATAATTCTGTTTGACTTTTTGAGGAACTGCTAAAGTGTTTTCCACAGTAGCTGTGCCATTTTACATTCCCACCAGCAATGCACAGGGATTCCAATTTCTCTACATCCTCACCAACACTTATTTTCCATTTTCTTTTACTATAGCCATCCTAGTGGGTGGTATCTCATTGTGGTTTTGATTTGCATTTCCTGAATGACTAATGACATGGAACATCTTCATATACTTACTGGCTGCTTGTTTATCTTTGGAGAAATGTATATTCAGGTCCTTTTCCCATTTTTAAATTGGGTTTTTTTTTTGTTGTTGAATTGTAAGAATTTTTTATATATTCTGGATACTAACCCCTCATCACACGTATGATTTGCAGATATTTTCTCCCATTCTGTAGGTTGTCTTTCCACTCTCCTGATAGTGTCCTTTGATACACAAGTTTTAAATTTTGATGAATTCCAATTTATTTTTTCTTTTGTTGCTTGTGCTTCTGGTCATATCTAAGAAACTATTGCCAAATCCAAGGTCATGAGGGTTTACCCTTCTATTTTCTTCTAAGTGTTGTATAGTTTTAGCTCTTACATTTAGATCTTTGATCTAATTTGAGTTATTTTTTGTATGTGGTGTGAGTTAAGACTCCAACTTAATTCTTTAGCATGCGGTTATCCAGTTGTCCCACCACCATTTGTTGTAGAGACTATTCTTCCTCCACTGAGTGGACTCAGCACTCTTGTCAAAAATCATTTGACCATAGATGTATGGTTTGTTTTCAGACTCTCAATTCTGTTGATCTGTAGGCCTGTCCTTATGCCAAGTACCACTTGATTACTGTAGCTTTGAGGTAAATTCGGAAACTGGGAAGTGTGAGGATATTATCCCCTTTTACAGATGAGGATACTGGGGCTTAGTGAGTGACATGACTGACTGAAGGTAGAGCTAGGGGTGAGGGCAGAGGGGCTGTCCCTGGGCTCTGCGGGGACGAGTGAGATGGCACGGGGAGTGCAGTGGGTTGGCCACTGGTGCTCCTTCCCAGAGGGCAGGCCCTCAGGAGTGAGTAGCCAGGCCTTCCTCCACTCCCAAGCAGCAGGAAAAGGCCCAGTCCAGTGCTACTCCTGACTCTGAGGGCAGCAGCCACATCTTCCCTCCCATACTTCCCGTGGCCCCAGGATTCCCATGTGAATCCATCTCTGAGGCCCCATATGCTCAAAGAGGCCTGGCTTCTCACAGGCCAAGAGCTTCTGGCCCACAGGGCTCAGTGCTGCCAGGAAATGTCCAGGTGGTGGGTAGGACACAGCTGCCGCTTGGAGAGGAGCCCGCTTACGCCCGCTCTGGCCTCTTCCTCCCTTTGTAGTGGTTGGCTCGCAGTCCTAAGTGTAGAAAACCACTTGCCCGTGTTGATCATCATGATAGTGGTGGCTGGCTTCTTCACCCTCTGTGCCGTGCTTGCAGTCATCCTCCTGAAGCGGGTGAGTTGGGGGAAGAGGGGGCTGGGCCAATAGCAGCTGCCTTCACCATGGGGATGTTCTTCACCACTGCAGTCAGGCCTCGTGGGCCCCAAAATGTCCAGTGGCTTCCAAGGCTCTGGGTGTAGGTTGGTGGGCTTGGCTTCCTGGTAGCCCCTTTGGGAGTATAGCCTGGATGGCTAGGTACCTGGTGGTGCCTCTCATGCTTGCCTCTTTCCCCAGGTGCACTCTCTATACCGCCGAACCGGGGCCAGCTTTCAGCAGGCCCAGGTGGAGTTTTCCCAGGGCATCTTCAGCAACAGGACTTTCCGCAGCGCTGCCTCATCTGCTGCCCAAGGGGCCTTCCAAGAGAATTAGCCCTCCTGGCTCTCTCCTCCCTCTGCCCCAGCTTTTTCTCTCACCTGCCTTCTGAGCTGCACTTTCCGTGGGTGCCTTATATGATGGTTATGCCCAGCACAGACCTGAGGAGGGTCTTGCCATGGCTCTTCCTCCTTCCTCAGCAGCCAGCTCTCCCTTCCACCTGAGGGGAGGTGAGGGAGGAAGGGACTTATTTTTACACAAGAGAAAAGAAAAAAAAAAGTCTTTCTTTCTCTGGTGGTGGTTTGGTAGGGTTCTGTTGTCTCTTTGGAAGCAGTGGAACTAAAGCCTCTCCCCTCCACCACACACACATACCACTTGGGATCACTGGCTGCCATGGGCCAACCTCAGCTGGAGTGTTATCTCTTCCAGGGTCCTGGGACTCCACTTCTCCCTCCACAGACCCAGCCTGTGGCCTTCACAGTCCTGCCCTTCCTTCCTGCCCAGGCTGGGTAGCCTCTCAAGGGCACCACTGTGGAGGAGCTGCAGGCTGGACAGGTGGTCAACTCTGTTCCCCAGATTGCTCTGGGATGGTCTCTGGGCTTCCAGAGCCTCTAGCCTGACTAGCCTCACCTCTGCCTCATTTTTCTCACAGATTCATAGCCCTTTAGGCCCCTGGTACCCTCCTGGTATGGGCAACACTTTGTGCCTTAGAGCCCTTTGGGGCCCTCCCTGAGCCCTTCCTGCTTCAGACTTACTGAATGTGCAATGGAGTTGGGATTTAGGGGATGGGAAGGGGAGGGATAGAGGACATTGACCCACGATGTTCTACCCAGGAGGGTGGTGTCTGACTATCCTGGTGTGGTTTCTTTGGGCTTGTTTGTTTTGACTGCCTCTCCTCATGTGGGACAGCTGCCATTTGCCTTGGCCTCAGATTCTAACCACCATCCCCACCCCCACCCCCCATCAGCAACATCCAGCTTGTGTGACCTTTGAGGAGGGCAGGGTGAGTCAGCCCAGAACTGCACCCTTCTGGCTGGTCTGACAAGCCACCTTTCTGAAGGCTCCAGACTAATCCTGCAGGGCCCCCCCACATATACACACACCTCCAGTAGAATCTAGGTCACTGTTGACTCATCCTGGGGACTCCCCAGGAGGTGTGTCACTGTGCTATGAGCCTAGGAGTCCACGGTTAGAACCTGCATGGTGTGTGGGCTGAGGGGCTTCCCCAAAAAAGTTAGCCAGCCCCTGCCTCTGGGACCTGGGGCCCACCCACCCTGAGGCAGCCCTAAGGCTGCTAGCCCACTCAGCCCCAGAGCCACTGAATGATGATGACAGTGGCCAAGGTTTTGTACTCCTTTCTGGTATTTTTTCCTCCATGTACATACAAATGTATATGTTTTATCTCAATTTTTGTGCTTAAATAAAAAGACATTTTCAGACAAGTCTGGTCCTAATGTCTGGTGGATGTGGGAGGATGGAAGTGGTCCTAAGGGGTAGGGGCTGACGTGCTTCCAGCGACAGGCCAGGGGGGAAGTCAAGATGCTGCTGCATCTAGCGCCGGCTCTCTGGCTGGTCTGCAACAGGAGGTTGAACGCAGAAGAGTGAATGGCAGGTGGGACCCCTGGACAAGGCAACTCTTCGAAATATCTTCTGTTGTCCAGGTACTAGGTTCAGAGCTGCAGGCCTTGCTGGGTGGGGCTGGGGAAGGAGGCAGGCCTCCTTGAATCTTCCTGCCACCCCGCAGGATGCTGTCTGTACCTAGGTGGGATTACCCTGGGGCAGATGACCCAGTAAGCAAAGTCCTGTGAGTCGAGCGACCCTATAGGACAAAGAACTGCCTCATACAGTTTCCAAGGAGTGGCTGGTGGATTTGAACTGCTGACCTTTTGGTTAGAGCCATAACTCTTAACCATTACACTTTAACTTGTGTGTACTGACTACTATTCTGTAGTGAACCATTTCACCAGTGAGACCCATGTGAAATGGTTCAGTACAGATTAGTAAATACACACAAGTAAGCCAGTATCTACTTTATTAGGTCATCTGTCTCTGTCAGGGATCGTAAATTTGAAAAGAGGCTTTGATTCTGTAGAAAGGTGCTGTGGGGTTGGTGGAGACATGCCAGCCATACCTAGAAGCAGAATCTATGATGTGGTGGAAAAAATGTGAACTTTTAATACTACAGATGATCTGGTATGCAAGGAAAACACCATGCTTATCTTGCCTATTGGATAAACCGCCCCTGGATTCCCCAAGTGACATCGTCCGCTGTCCCCGGCTTTCCTCCGCAGGGTCCCAGTATCCCCAGATGGACGTTGAGGGGGCTGGCTGATGGTGTGATTTCCAGTAAGGGTTGGAGTCGGGGGGAGGCGCCCTGCTGGGTGCAGCCTGGGGCGCGGGGCGTGGCCGTGGGGACTGGGGGCAGCCAGCGCACGGCTCACAGACCTGCCTCCCGCCCACTGCGCTGCACTCCCGGCGGGCGGCGCTGGGGGCAGCGTAGACTCCAGCCCGGTCGCCCGCTCTCCAACTTTCCGCTCCCGGCCGGAACCCAGCGCTGGGAACCAGGAAGCACCTGGGGGCGGGGTGGGCGCGGGGCGGCCGGGATGGCGGGGTCTGGGTGGTGCGCCCCAAGGCTGGACGGTTTCGTTCTCACCGAGCGGCTGGGCAGTGGCACGTACGCCACGGTGTACAAGGCCTACGCCAAGGTGAGTGCGGGGGCGGGGCGACCCCGGGGGTGCCCCAGCGAGGGGCTAGCTCCCTGTGCGAGGCCGGAATTCGGGGGCACAAGGAGAACTTCTTGAGGGTCTGGCCCCTGGCTTGCCAAACCCTGAATAAGCCCAGCCGGGTGGGAAACGGCGAGAGGTTAGAGACGGTATGAGAGCAGTCAGGGCAGGCAGCCTGTCCTGCCTCCTGCTAACCAGTCTATGGAGAAGGTTGGAGCTGACCGCCACCCTCAGGCGTTAAAAACAAACACATGTACACATCCATGTTTTGTCTGAGGAGGCAGATGGACATCCTTGCGGGGTTGGAGACTCGATGGAACCTCGGTGTCCGTGGCTGAAGAACAGGCTCAAAACGAGGATTCTGCGTGGGCTGGGAGGAGTCTGGGACAGGTTCTAGAAGCCTGGACCCGGTTAGGAGGCAGAGTGGGCAGTTCTAGAACACTGAGTCGCATGCCTTGGCGGGAACAGTCTAGAATACAAGGAAATGGGTTATGGAGCAGAGAGTTTGACAACACCAGGCTGGGTTGGGAGACTGGGAATCCAGAATCCAGATGCTTCATTAGGCTGAAAAGGGCAAACTGGGATGTTGGCCTGGAGTGGATGGGCCCGGGGTGGGGTGGGGGGGGAATCAGGGCCTTTCCAGCCAGGCAAGTGTTCTGGCCCCCTCAAGGCAGAGCCCCCAAATCTCCTGTCTTTCCAGAGGGACACCCGTGAGGTCGTAGCCATAAAGTGTGTGGCCAAGAAAAGTCTGAACAAGGCATCCGTGGAAAACCTCCTGACAGAGATTGAGATCCTCAAGGGCATTCAACACCCCCACATTGTACAACTAAAAGACTTCCAGGTACAGGCCTGGGGTGGAGCCACCCCCAAAGGGGCTGGAGAGGGGATACCGTCTTCAGGCTACCTCTCTACCTCTAACCACAGTGGGACAGTGAGAACATCTACCTCATCATGGAGTTCTGCGCAGGTGGCGACCTGTCTCGCTTCATCCATACCCGCAGGATTCTGCCTGAGAAGGTGGCTCGTGTCTTCATGCAGCAGTTAGGTAAAAGCCACTCACCCCAGCCTGACCCTGCTTTCTGTGTTCTCTGCCTTCCCACCCCACCCGCCCCAGGCTTGGAGCCCCGGCACACTTTACATTGTCTCCTGCCGCAGCTTGGATTTTCATGGCCCTGTCTTTTCCATGTGGCTAGCTCTGGCTCAAGAATGTTGTGTGAGAAACGGGGAGGAGCCTCCGTCTGTGGGAGTCTAGGCTTCCACACGTAGAACATAATATAAGGAACTTGTAGAATATTCCAACACCCAATGGGAAGGACCCAGGTGTTTTGCCAAGGAAAAGAGCAAGATCCTAAAGTGCTGGAGCATCCAGGGAGGCTTCTTGGGGGGAGGGGGGTTGTGAGGGGGCAAAAGGGAAGAGGAGTGACACTCTGGGCAGGGGACAAACTCGTAGAAGTGGCAGGAGCCTGGAGCATATATGTGAAGCGTTCAGTTGACCAGCCAGGCCAGAAGAGGGTTGTGTGAGTGGGGAGAGGCAGGTGGGGGATGGGCTCCTCTAACCTCTCTCCCTGCATGGGTCCCACTCTCCAGCTAGTGCCCTGCAGTTCCTGCATGAACGGAACATCTCTCATCTGGATCTGAAGCCACAGAACATTCTGCTGAGCTCCTTGGAGAAGCCGCACCTCAAATTGGCAGGTCTGTGTCTGGAACAGCAGGATTGTGATTTGGAGGGGGTGCTGTGCAGAGACCTTCCTCTGCCTGGGCTCACTCAGCACCCATGGTTCTCATGGAGCTCTCTGTTGAGTTATCAGACAGTGGCAGGCTGGGAGATCCAGGGCTGGGTCCCATCACCAAAAGATAGAACTTTTCGCTGGTCACCCACACTCCCGAAGTGTAATGGGTGGGGTTAAGGCTCAGTTTGAGGTCAGGATCAGGGCTCAGTCTGTCACCAGGATTGGGGCTCAGACTGTGATTCAACCTATAGCAGGGGTTAGGAGGGTGTTAGGTTAGGGGATAGGGAGGCAGTGGTTGTGGGTACCGACAAGATTTGACTCAAGGCTAGAAGCCAGAGAGTGTGGTATTGCATCACCTAAGCTTGGTGGAGCAGTGAGGGAGAGTTCTAACCCCTAGCAGGGCCCTGTCTATGTAGCTAGTGTGATCAGGATGAGCTTCCTGGGAAAAGGGTACCTGAGAGGCTGTGCAGGAGGGTAGAATTTACAACCCAGGAGGACAATGTAGCAGGACATCCGAGGCTAAACAGAAATGGCATGAGCAAAGGCAGGGAAGTAGGATTTATCTTGGCGAGTCTGGAGGTGGGGCCCTGCAGCTGGAACCCAGGGCAGAGGCTTCAAAGTCCAGGGTATGGAAGCAGCTGAGATTTGAGCCCTGATGCCCGGCCTCTTGCCTGCAGACTTTGGCTTTGCACAGCACATGTCCCCATGGGACGAGAAACATGTGCTCCGAGGCTCCCCCCTTTACATGGCCCCAGAGATGGTGTGTCAGCGGCAGTATGATGCCCGTGTGGACCTCTGGTCTGTGGGGGTCATTCTGTATGGTAAGAGCTCTCTCCTGCTCCCTGCCCTGGGGTCTGCACTGTGTGTCCTCGGGCAAGGCCTCTCTGGGCCACTCCTAAACGGCTCTAGTGAGAACTCTCACTCCACTTCCCTGGGCTCCCAGCTCTGAGGGGTGTCCGGCCCCCTCCCCAGGAGTGGGCCAGGCCAGGCTTGACCCCGCCCCCTTCCGGCCTCCCCTCTGCCTCCCTCCACAGAAGCCCTCTTCGGGCAGCCCCCCTTTGCCTCCAGGTCATTCTCAGAGCTGGAAGAGAAGATCCGTAGCAACCGGGTTATCGAGGTGGGTCTAGCAACTGGGGAGACGGGGGAGTCAGGGCCCTGAGGGTGGAGACCTCACTCCCACCTGCCACAGACAGGAGTGTGGGCTCCAGGCCACTGGAAGTCGAGGTGCTCGGGGTCCCAGATCAGCCCATAATGGGCAGCACAGGTTCCACCCCACGGAGAGCTGTGCGGGCCTCTGTGGGGAGAAAGCAAAGCAGACCCAGCCAGCCTTCCCAGGCCCATAGTCCCAGGAGCCCCCAGATTGTACAGCAGCTAAGGGCAGTGAGAGACCAGGAGGAGCCCATGGAAGGAGGCCTGGCTCTCTGCTGGTCCCACCACTTTGCCACATGACTGTTCCTCCCGGGTCTCAGATTCTCCACCTATCAAACATGTACCTCTGGGGCATCCTACAGGCCCCTGGGTCCAGGGGCTGATGTCCTGGAGCCCACTGCGATCTATACCCTGGCCCTGCAGCTCCCCCTGCGGCCCCCACTCTCCCGTGACTGCCGGGACCTGCTGCAGCGCCTCCTGGAGCGGGACCCCAGCCGCCGCATCTCCTTCCAGGACTTCTTCGCTCATCCTTGGGTGGACCTGGAGCACATGCCCAGTGGGGGGAGCCTGACACAAGCGGTGAGCAGGCCGGGGATGGGCTCCGGGGACCTGATCTTCCTCTTCTTGTTGAGCATAGGAGGGTGGGAGGTGGGCATGCCTCCTCATCCACCTGCCCCCCAGACTGCCCTGGTGGTGCAGGCCGTGAAGAAGGACCAGGAGGGGGACGCGGCGGCTGCCTTATCTCTCTACTGCAAGGCTCTGGACTTCTTCGTGCCTGCCCTGCACTGTGAGTCCCAGGCCAGGCTTGGAGCCCTGGGTGCAGCAGGGGTGGGGTCAGCCATGGTGGCCAGGGATTGATTCCAGCACTTTCCATCCAGAGGGTAAACCTGGAATTTGGCGCCTTTGGGGGCCCTGGAGGGTTTGGAGTGGGGCAGGGGTCACCCCCGAGACTCCTCATATAAACCCCACTTTCTACAGATGAAGTGGATGCCCAGCGGAAGGAGGCAATTAAGGCAAAGGTGGGTGAGTAGAGAGTCTCCACGAGGACGTAGGGTGAGTGTGAGGGGAAAGTCCAGGGATCCCAGGGCCCCTGGGGAATGGCTGTCTCAGAACTTAGACTTTTTGTCCTGTAACGTAGAGCTGGGAGGGGGTCAGGCCAGCCTCACTTGACCCCTTGCATGTGGTTACAGCTTGGGGCAGTGCCTGAGGACCCAGAGGGAAGACTTGGAGGTGGGTGCTGGCTAGTGGGGCCCATGGAGGGAGGCAGGGGTGGGGCAGCCCTCCTCAGCCCTTCGCCCTCCTACAGGTGGGGCAGTACGTGTCCCGGGCTGAGGAGCTCAAAGCCATCGTCTCCTCCTCCAATCAGGCCCTGCTGAGGCAGGGAACCTCCACCCGAGACCTGCTCAGAGGTAGGCCCAGTCCCTGGCTGACCCACCAGCCTCCCAGCAAACCACCCTGCAGCCTGAAGGGGAGACAGGCTGGGGAAGGCTCCTGAGACAAGAAGACAGGCTGCCCCCCTCACCCTAAGGCTTTGCGCTCTTCTCCCAGAGATGGCCCGGGACAAGCCGCGCCTCCTAGCTGCCCTGGAGATGGCTTCAGCTGCCCTGGCCAAGGTGGGTGCCCAGTAGGAGGGGCCCAGGTGGGGCAGGGAGGAATCCAGGTCATGACTCTGAACCACCTGCTGTCCATGTGGCTGCAGGAGGAGGAAGCTGGCAGGGAGCAGGATGCCTTGGACCTGTACCAGCACAGCCTGGGGGAGCTGCTGCTGCTGCTGGCAGGTGAGGCCCCTCTAGCACCACACCCTGCCCAGTCCCTGGATGCCCTACCCTTACCACACCTATCTCTTTGCAGCGGAGCCCCCTGGCCGGAGGCGGGAGCTGCTTCATGCTGAGGTGCCTGCTGGGGTTGGGAGGGTTGGGGGGCTTCCTCTTCCCGTTTCACTCTGCTTCTCTGTGGGGACTTCCTTGGTCTGTGGGGACCTCCTCAGGGTGTTCAAGACTGGGAGTCAGACCTCCCAGACTTGGTAAGTGGGTAGCCCCATGTGGTCCATCAAGGCTGGGGTGCTCAGATCAGGGCAATAGGACTGTCAGGATCTGGGAACCAGCACAGAAAGTCTGCTGGGCTGGTGCAGTCAGGAAGGCTCCCTGGAGGAGGGAGCAGGTAGAGCTCTCAGAGGGGAAGCCGTTCTAATGGGGCAGAGGGTTCTGGAGAGCTCCAGGGCTGAGGAGGGAGCCCATCCACCCACACCCATGAGCATGTCTTCCTTGGCAGGTTCAGAATCTCATGGCTCGAGCTGAATACCTGAAGGAGCAGGTCAAGGTGGGGGTGTGGGGGGCTGCACGGGGCGAGCATTCGTGGGTTCTGCTCCTCCTGCCTGTGGCTGTCTGTGCCCTGCCCCTCGTGTGTGTCTCCCTCTCCAGTCTCCATCCGAAGGGCTCTCCATCCTTGTCTCTTCTTTACACTCTTGGGTGCTCAGTGGCTCTTGGTTGTGGCCGCCTGTCGCTGTCTCTGGCTGCCTCTCACCCCTTGTGCTGCCATATGTCCCACAGATGAGGGAGTCTCGCTGGGAAGCAGAGACCCTGGACAAAGAGGGGCTGTTGGAGTCGGTTCGTAGCTGTGAGTTGTGCCCTAGGGTCTGATCCTTCTCCCAAAGAGGGGCGAGGGCTGGGGGGTGGCCATGGTTCTGCCTCTTACCAGAGACCTGAGACTGACCCACCCCCTTGGCCCTGCACAGCATGCACCCTGCAGTGACGCCAGAAGAATGACTGGACAGACTGTGGGCTACCTGGAATTGAGGGGTACACCACCCCTGGCTGGGACCTGTGGATCAATGCCCTGAATTCCGTGGCCCTCTATAGCCCTGGGGAGCACCTTAGAGAGGGGACTTCCTAGGTGGGCAACTCTGAGACCCCTACACCCCAGGGTCCCCAGCCTCCCTGGGGATACTCTTTATCCCCCAGAGGGTCCAGTGACCCATCCTGTGAACTGGGAGCACTGGGCCTTCACCCCGGGGTGAGGGGCCAGGACTCTTGGGAGAAGAGTATTGCTTCCATGTGATCCCCACCTTGGAAGTTGAAAAAGTTGTTACTGGGTGGTTGCTGGGTTCTGAGCCTGTTGATTTCTGTGTCTGAGCCCCCACCCCACGGGGAGGGAACATCAAGGCTTCTAGCATTTCTGCTGTGAGAAGAGGGCAGGGGCCCTCTGCAGGGTACTTCTGTGCTGGCCCCCTCCTGGACAGCAGCCAGCACCCCCTGTGCCGTCCTTCCTGGGAGCCCTTATTCCAGCTCACCTCCCTCCTTGCACTGGAATGGGGCACTCAGACCCCTCAGGGACTACCCACCCCCACAATGTCTCCTCAGCCCCACAGAACTCACCAGTCTTTTTGGGAGCTAACCCCTGCCCACCACCTCAGAATTTTAAAATAATCCTTCAAGCATGACAAGAAGGTACTTTGTGTAAGGGTAGGGCAGATTTGAGAAACCCATGCCTTGTTTCTGAGGAAGGGCCCTCAGTCCTCATCCTTCCCACCTCCTTCACTGCCACAGAGCTGGCCCTGGGCTGGATTCAGGGACCTGGGAGGGAGAAGCATGGGGACTGCCTGACCCATTTGCCTGCAGAGGAATCAGCTCAGTCCAGGAGACCTGGTTCTAGGCCTGACAGTACCGCTACCCTCACAGGGGACTTGGCAAGCCCCTTCCCCTTTCTGGGCCTTGGTTATCGCACCTCTCCAGTGGGGCTGCAAATCCTTCCTCAGCCCACAGCCTGGGCTTTCAGAGGGCAGAGAGAGTGTAGTCTGGAGCAAAATGTACACACCTGGGGTTATCTGGAGCTTCTTTTAAAAAATGAGAGGGTGTTGGTGGCTTCTAAGCCTTCTGCCCTTAAATGCTCCTTGGGGCAAGTCCTCTGTTCTCCTTGCAGGAGGCTGGGTAAAAAGAATGTAATTCATTGTTTCACTATTAAATTATTTTCTGTACTTGTGCTTCTTTTCTTGCCCTGGGAAAGCAGCACAGGTAGCCCCTGTTCAGAGGTGGGGCTGGAGGGGTCCCAGAAAAAGCTGGGTAACCTGAGGGAGGGCTGAGGAGGTCACAGGGTGGTGGGGTGATAGCCACATCCATCTCCTGCTCTCAGGCTTTGGGGGATGGGGAGACTCAGGCTGACCAGCTGCCATCCCTGCCCACCATCTAAGGGAGCAGAAGCAAGGGGAAAGCACGGGGCTGGGAGTCTGAGCAAGGCCCTTGCCCTCTGCACCCCAGAGCTCCATCTGTACCTTGAGAAGGACAGGCTCAGTTGCAGGTTGCTGTGAGCTCAGACTGCACACTCCCTCACCCCAGACAGGGCTCCTCCAGGCTCCCACCTTTCTTATCCTACCTTCAGGCTCCCACCTCTCTTATCCTACCTTCAGGCACCCACCTCTCTTATCCTAGGCTGGTGGTGAGCAGTGAGCTGGAGTAGGGAGAAGGGCGTCCTTTGGGGTGTCTCGTGCTCATACCTAGCCCCCAGGACCCCCCAAATCAGGTCTTGATTTGAAAAGCACTTGTTGCGAGCATCCCCAGGGACTTAAGGGAGGGGTGCCCACATATCTGGGCAGCCACCCTTTACCCAAGGGAGCAGTTTCCTAGACTTCTCAGATGCTACCAAGATGCTCAGTCTACCTTACAGACAGGAAAGGGCTTCCAGAAGGGAGCTAATCTCCTGGAAGGTCTTGGCCTGGCCATTGGGAGGGCAGTGTGGAATAGTGGTCCAGAGGGCTGGAGGAGCCAGCTGCCAGGGTGAAGATCCTGGCTAGACCACATTTGGCCTTGAGGCTTGGGGCCCACTGAATAACCCCAACTTCCTCCTCTGTAAAATGAGGATGAGGATAATAAGTACCTTGTGGGAATCTGTAAGGATTGAATGAGATATTGTACGTGAGCTGGGTGCATAATAAGAATTCAGTAAAGTGTTATTTTCATATCTTGGGAGAGGAACGTACGTCAGATTATCTCTGGAAATAGGCTGGACACAAAAACCTCAATAAGTAAAGTGAGGGAAAGGAGGGTAATGGAGAGGACTGGAGGGAGGGGGCGTGGGAACGAGGAAGGACAGAGGGTGGAACACTAATTGAACGGAAGGATGGTAGGATAGAGGGTGGCCCACAGACCCCAATTTTTTATTTGTGATACCTGCATTGGCTGTCTGAGAACAGGGGCCTGAAATGGAAGGACTGGGTGCAGGGAAGGCCTGGTAAGCTGGGGCTGCTAGGGAGGGGCCCTACCTGGGTAGAGTTTGGGTGGCCTCTAGGCCGGTTGAGTCCAGGTCACCTGTCAAGGATCAAGGCTCGGGGGGGTGGCTCACTCTCCATAGAGCTCTCCTTTCCTAATGGCAGAGGCCTCTGGGAAACTTGCTGGTCAGCTTTTTAAAAATGTATTTTCCCTCCTGGGGACGGTGTGGAGGTTGTTTCTGCCTCTGACTGTCAACACTCTGAAAGTGTTCAAAGCAGAGCAGACGTCCACCAGCAATGTTCTGGGTGCCCCACCCTGCCCTGTTCTCCCACCTCTACTCAGTTTCCCAAGCCCCTGAAGCTTGGGAGAGCCAGGTGGGGCTCTGGAGCCAGCTGAGGGACCCAGGTGTCCCTGTGCTCAGCCTGCCTTTTCTTTTGCTAATGGGGCATGGAGAAGGACACAGAGCCTTGGTTCCTCTAGGAGGCCGTCGAAAAGGGCTCCTGTCCCCAGAAGCCAGCCTGCTGTCTCAGCCCTTCCTGAGAGGAAGATGGCCCAGTGCTGAGGCTGGGGACACATCAATGACCACCCTCCCCCAGGGTAACTCACAGCCACATGCATATACTCAAAAACCCACAGACACACAGACACAGACACTAACAGGCCACAGACACACATACAAAAACATTTAAAGCCATGTATGCTACTAACCAGAAGGTTGGCAGTGCAGACCTACCAGTCTGCTTCTGTAAGGATTTACAGCCTTGGAAACCTTATGGGGCGGTTCTCTGTCTTACAGGGTCGCTATGAGTCAGAATTGATTCAATGGCAACTGGTTTGATTTTTTTGTTTTGGTATGAGCTCACCGACCTGTAAAGACACGACCTCTCTCTCTCACACACACACACAGCTCTCGCTGAATAAGGCTGAGGCAGCTCCAATGCTGCTGCTTCCCTGGACCCAGCCTACCCTGGCTTCCTTGCTCTCCCAAGCCTCTGATTTTGGGGACGGCTTTGCCTGCCAGGCAGTGGGTTTGAGGCAGGGCAATGGGCTCTGTGGCTCTTCAGTCAGGTCTGTGAAGATAGAGGGCAGAAGCTCCCAGCCTCACCAGGGCTGAGCTTCAGCTGGGTCGATAGGCACTGCTAGAGCTTGGGCTCAGCAAATGAACGTCCCCTAGATGTCCCTGGTGCCCGCCTGGGGCCTTCAATGTCTGAGGAGGGACCATCTGGCTGTTGGGGGAAGGGGAGATCCACCCAGCTCCCTGATCACCCTCCCACCTCCTTCTTGGGGGCCAGCTGGCCTCAGGAAAGTCACAGCCTGGGCTGGCTGTGGGTGGGTGAGGACAGGAGAAGGGGGCTGGGGGCTCCTTGGGCGGGGCTGGGCTGACCACCAATCCCCCTGAAATCCCCTGAAACAGAGCCAGAGGCCCTGAGGGTGGGGACAGGGGAAACAGGCCAGGCCATCCTTGCCTCCCAAAAGAGGGTGTGTGGGGTGGGACCTGAGGGCCTCTCTCACCACCTTTTAACACTTCCTGCATCTTCAGACTGCCTGCAAGGAAGAGAAGGAAGAAGGAAAGAGGGAAGAGCAGGAGGGAGTGAGAGGGGAGGGCCTGGGGAGGTAAATGCCTTATTCTGAACTACCGCCGTGCCCTAATGGTGGGGTTTTAGGCACTGTGAAAAGGGAAGTTTTGATGGGTAGTGGCTTTCTACAAGGTCCTTGCATCACACCAGGGAGTGTCTAGATAAACGAGGAGCAGAAACAGGAGGGAGGAGAGTAACAGTGGATGTAGAAGGCGTGGGCGTGTGGGCAGGTGCAGAGAGGGCTCTCCTTTGGCCAGGTCAGCCCCTACTGAGAGCAAGGGTGCAGTCCTGAGCCTGGATAAGGATGTGGGGACTCAAACAAGAGGGACACAGACTGACAGAAACCCACTGAGTATAAGAAAGAGGCGTACTGCTGGAGGGAGACAGGGCGAGGCCAGCAAGCCCGGGGACCTGCGCCTGCCCTCCTGCCCGTCTCTTCCGGGCCCCAGAGCTGCCTCCTTCTCCCAAGCCTCCGCTACTCCATTCCAGGGATGGTGCAGATAGGTCAAGGGCTTCTTTGGGGTCCCCTCCTGCTCCCTGACCCCAGGCCCTAGCCAGCCGGATTTTATGAGTATTCAGTGAGTACAAGCTCCCCCAGTCTCCTCACCAACCCCTCCCCTGCCCTGCAAACCACTGAGGGAGAAGGGGTCTGTCCACTCCCATTAGGCAGAAGGCCCCTGGAGGGTGGAGTGCTGACGTGGGCCTTGCTGCTGACGCTGCTAAGGGGGTCCACGGCCCCCCCGCCCAGCCTGAGGCCCTGACTTGGGTCTCCTCCAGCTCCAGGAAGGTCAGGAGGCCTTTTTTGGTCCAGTGGCCACCAGGGTCTTTCCGGGCAGCCTAGGAGCAGCTCAAAGACCAGGTCCTTCCCCGGGATGCTCAGGAGAGCGGGGCCCAGCTGACAGCCGAGCAGTACTGCTCCAACCCTGGGCCTGGGTCCCTCCCTGCCCTCCCTTCCTAATTCCTCAATCTCTCTCTCCCACTCCCCGCATCCCTCTCCACATCACCGACTAGATAAGTTTTATGTTCCTTGTTCTTAGTTTACGAAGAAGGCCGAGTGGAAAGGCTGCCCTTG